TTTTTTTTTTTTTTTGGAACTTATATATTTTTTGAATATTTTCAAGTCGTGGATGGTTGAAACTGTGGATAAGGAATTCGTGGATATTATAGAGGGCCGACTGTACATCCTTGATCTAAAATGGGAATGATATGCATGGATGGAAAATGTTTAAACTCCCATCACATATAGTTTTTATATTAAAATGTTGCTCCCCCACACACATATAAAATAAGGGACAAACTTCCATTGGTACTAGTGGAATCTCCCCCTACCTTTATCTGCCATGTGGGGGACTGAAGGGGGGGATTTAAACCTCCTCCCACCCACACGTCTCAGTCCAGATCCAGGCACTAAAGCAGGGGTAGGCAACCTTTCCCCTTTAAGGGCCGAGGGACTTCAGCTCCCAGAATCCCAGGAGCTATTGGCCAACATGGGACTATTGGCCAACATGGCTGAGGCTTCTGGGAGCTGAAGTCCCTCAGCCCTTAAGGGGGAAAGGTTGCCTACCCCTGCACTAAAGTAAAGTTTAAAAGGTGTGTGTGTCTTATATTATGGATTTAACATAATGGGTAATATGGTTCTCAGTACATGCATTTTCAAGTCTTCAGCTGATTGATTTCAAGTTCTTTATACAAACTAGATCCCACAAAACCACTATAATGCACCTCTTTTTCAGCAGTATGTGATAGCAGGCAGCTTCTGCTCATAAAAACACCAGAAGACCCACAAGCAGGAGTGGGATGGGTGAAGAGGACTTCTAATATATTCTTTTTAAGCATTTTGGAGACTTCACATCCATAGATATCCACAACACTTTTTGAGATGGAGGGGATCTGTGCCTGTTGAGAGTTAACATAGTGGTTTGAGTATCAGACTTGGAAGACGCAGAAACCCCTTGGGTGATCTTGGGCAACTCACATTCAGTCTTTGAGGAAGGCACTTAGTGTGAAACCTCCTCTAAATAATTTTTGCCAAGAAAACTCCAGGATATGGTCACCCTATGGTTACTTAAGTTGAAAATGACTTGAATGCATGCAACAACAGTGGCATGTGTTTGTAATTTCTGCTCATGGTGTACATTGCTAAAGGCTGCCTATGTGTTTTTATTGTGTATATAAGATGTTAGAGTGAGGACTACAATTTTTTCCTTAAGAATGAACAGGAGGGGGAACCAATTCACAAATAATATACCGGTATATTCATCTTGCGAAGTTATTGAATATTTCCTAACATCTGCATTGCTATTGAATCAAGACTGATAGCTTCATATGACTTTTCAGGAAATGAGTCTCCATGTTCTAGAAATATTTCCTTCATCTCAGAAACAATAAGCTCTACAGACTCTGCAGGGGTCATTCCTACAGGGGCAGGGGAAATAGGTGTTCTTTATCAAATCTCCAGTTTCCAGAAGAGCCTCAACCCTTTTCACAGTGCTTATCAATCACATTTTACATTGGCTCATATGAGATGGTTGCATTACTTGAATTTTGAACTGTACATGTATTTTTTAACAACTGCACATTTCATCTTTATTTGCTTTTTGAAGAAGGAGAAGTTGAACTATGCCTTTCAATTATCCAAATTTGGCAGTGGCAATCCTGCCGAATCAATGTGTTGCTTTTCCACATGCTTTTGAAATGTTCATTTCTCTCTCCTGCTCTCATTTTCTCCCTTCGTCCTCAGGTTACCACAATTGCTGTAAACTGTTCAAATGTAGTTTGCACTCAGTTAACTCAGCAGAGGGGAGAAGAGGAGGTGGAATCTTGTCCTTACCTGTAGGTTCAGGCAAAATCAAACTGCTGCATTCTTTCCTAGTTTGCCTGTTCTCCCTCATTAATAACTTTTTGCTGTCTTGACCACACTCTGATATTGCGTGGCCACATACGTCCCAGTTTTTATCTCTGAAATGTTAGAGAGTATGTTGAAGTTATCGTAACGGTGTCAGACAAGATGCTTCATATTTTGGATAAATTGGGTGTATGAACAGCAGCAAGACCTGGGCATTAGGTCTACATAGATAGATATGGTATCTGAGAAATCTGAATGCTAGCTTGACCTTTTTCTCATTCTCAGGTGTAGCTCTGGAGTTCAGACAATGAGTGTATTTGTACAACATGACAAGCCAGGGAGGCACAAGAACTGTGGCTTATTGTGAAGAACCAGTGTGCCAATGCATGTTGCTCTATTT